CATTACCCAATCGTTGTGGTTGGTGGCGCGGTGGTACATTGACTAAGAAATGGGTTTCAAACTCAGAATTGTCGGACTCTTTGTCTTAACCACGAATTCCCTGGGGTAAGGAAATTACCACATGTTGCTTCAGACCGGGGTCGCTCAGTCGTTCGGAGCTCGGATTCAGATCCGAGTCGGTCGTTCGTTTTTCTTCATTTCTAAGTTGATGTATGAGTGCTACTCTGTGGGTAGGAAACAGAGACCATATATTGTGCTTGCCGCGTAGCTGCTGTCGACTCTGCCTTGGCACTCCTGGCTGCTGAAATGAAAATTAAGATCAGTGTCCCATCCTTTACTTCATGAGAAGAAGGATACCTGAGTTATTCTATCATTAAAGTGAAGGAAGACCATTATTCTAATCGTTACAACTTTCCTTGCTAATTTTTCCACTGTGTTGGAAAAAAGCTGGAAAATCTCATTGTAAATTCAGTTCCAAATGTACTACCATTTTTCATATACAATGTTGATTTCCATCGCTGTGACATCGGGTAGCAGCATAAACTTTTGAAGGCAATCTATTCTGCTGTCTTACTTGCGGCTTTGAGTTGGCAGTTGTCTGAATCATTGCTCCACAATGGCAACTGTTGATGTATCTGTAAAAAATGCTAGATCAGTTGTCCCGCTTGGGATTCGAACCAGCGATCTCTGTCGTGAGTCTGACGCTCAACCGATTGAACTCCTCTGCTCTACCTATGCATGATGATGAACCATGCAACTGATGAAATGAGGCGCTTGGGACGATTTTAAAGTTCTAGCTGCTTATATCAAACTTCAATATGTACAGACAGAGGTTGATAATTTACTTTCTCAAATTTGAATAGGTAATTGAATATAGTTGTGAGTAGTGACAGCAGTCAATCAATTACAAATGTCAGACCAGGGTGGTCTTTCAATGTATTGGCTGGTTGAAGTGAGATGTGAGGGAAAGTTTCGGGTGTCAGGGGAGTCAGGACGTTGTTCGTCGTCAATCAAATTAATTGGCACGCTTCAATAGCATCTGATTGACCTCATCCCTGTGACGGGACGATAAACGCTGTGCCCCTGCTCCTTACTACGGAGGTCACCGTGGAAGCCCAAGCGTCTACGTCGAATCCCGCTTCACGGCAGGGGACATCTGATGACGCGTGCTTCGTCTCCATCCGCTGCCGCCGGCCGACTTTGTCTAAGCCGCACTTGAATCAGTTGTTAGCAGCAGCTCGGGAGTGGACCGCGTGGTTCGAAGCAACGGCGACCGATGCCCTTGAGTGACAGCCGCGCCCCTTCCTTCTTCACTCGTCTGCCTCCAGATCTTCGTCCGTACGACCGGCCGGTTGATATTTCGTACAGATGTCACAAAAGACGTGCCAATGTTTACGTTCCTCAATACGATACTTTTTCCAATTTGACCGCAGTCAAGGGTACCATCGATTTTTATTTAGGGCCACGATTCGTAATTGCTCAATTTAATCGTTAGTTCGCGTTCAGGCGGTCGGTCGTTTGCCTCGGCAGCCAGCGACGGTGAGGACGCAACGGTTAAAGATGACGAGGGAGCGACTCTCCCTCATGAGGTCAGTAAGGTACAGACGTGCCGTGAGAAATGGCTTCATTAAGCGATGCTCTAACTTAAACCCACGGTTCTGCATACCCTGATTAGGTTGTGAGTGGGGTTCTGTCTGAGGAATAATGCTGCACCATATTTGCTACTTCGATCGATCTGACAATTTTTGGTTGAAACGGCCTCTCTGAATCAGGTGACATCCCCGGCCATGATCGCTGATTGTCTTATTGTCTCCAACAGCAGGAATGTCGTTGTTTCTTATTTTTGGCGGCTTGTGCTTTCTTTTAGTGTACACCATGATCGATCGATCGGCGCAACATCTGGCGATAGGGGCACCCGACTAGAAGTTGCATTTCCTGGATGATGAATGTGCACCGGCGTCTCTTATCACAAAGTCTTTGCTGCAAAGCGATGGACCATTGTCCACCCGACAAGGACACGGCGGGCGATCTTCTGCCGCCTCCTCCTTAATCTCCGAGTTGCTCATCGCCGCTGATTCATCGACTGATTGATGACCACGTCTGCTTGGATTAGTGTCCGTTGGACGGCTTCCCTTTCGCCCCGTTGCCTTTTCTTCCTCCCCCCGTACTTCGTAATAAAACAAGAGCCGTCCTCGTCGTCGACTGACTCGACGGTGTTTGAACGCTAGCTGCTCCGTTATCAACGTGTCCTGTGGATTCTTTTATGTAGGTCACATTTTGGGACACTGAAACATCACAGGCCCCGGTCAAATTCCCACGCTGTGTTATCTGTTCGTTTCGGGACAACGCCCATAAATAAGAAGCGCAACAGTTTGCCGCTTCAGAGGTCGGTCTCGAGCCGTAGGAGATGGTTGACCAAGGTGGTGTTCAGGTGGGCTGCGGGAAGTGGGCAAACACCTATGGCACCGGCCTGTGCTCGAACCGCGGTCAGTTTCCGTCAGACGTGCTCGCTGCGTTGCTGCGATGCTGGTCGCGTTTGTGAATGTTGTTCGTCTGTGACGGTTCAATAAGCATCTGATGGTTTTAGAGTCAACTGAACAACTTCTGACAGGTCGAAGGTCGATCCATGGGTCATTCGTCGGCTGCGTCTTCGGCGTCGTCCGTCATGGACGAGAGTCAGGCGATGGCTTGCAGCCGAACGCTCTTCGTCGTCGTCTGTGTGCTTGTTGGTAAGTAGTTCGTTTGCATTTTGCTTTTGGGTCTTTAGCCTCACCACCCTCAGATCTGGCCGTTTTGTTCTTCTTGTGCCTATTTTTCAGACATTTGAAATTGTACAAACGCCGACATCTTCATTAACCCTCAGACCTCATTCATGTGCTGCCGCGGGTTAACTCATTTCACTCATTTTCCTGTTCTGTGGTCTTTCCAAGAAACCCAACTTCCCCCCTTTGTATGTTCGGTCGAGTTTGCTCGAGATTCCGGCCATTGAAATGGCAGTTTTTTAAACGGTGTTTGAAGAAATCCGTTTCCTGTTCTGCCCTATTGTGCTCGTTTTTAAGCGCCCCTGAAAATCGTGCGGGTTTTGCTTATTTTAAAGTTGCTAAGTAAATTTTCGAGCGGTTGCTACTTCATAAAGAATTGAAGTAAACCGAACAAACGTTTCATTCATTCCATGGCGGATGAACGTCGCTGCCACGAAGGCGGGAGATGATTTTTCTGATTTACTGATTTACTTCTTGTTCTGCAGATAAATAATTCGTCAAACTAAGGGCTCTTTTTCCCATGCCCCTACCCATGTATAAAGTCATAAACTTTATGTTTAGCGAACTTACAATTTAAACTCACAAACAAGTTCCTCATTGGACGATGTCCATCTGATAAACATAACATATAAAAATGTACTTCAGGATCTAGTGACCGATTTAGCACTTCATGCCCTCCTTCAGATAAGTGTCAATAAGCCGGTAAATAAAAGAATGGAAAGAAAGTCATTCCTTTTCTTTCCTGACCAATACTTCGCAAGTATGTGTTTAGCTGTTCATTTTGTATTCCAGTTATCACATGGCGAATCTTTTGTGATTTTGTGATTTTATGTACTTGATCATCTGTAGCAGTTATATCATGTTATAGTATTCTAATCATGTTTGAATGACATCGTTAACGAAAATCAGTTTTGATATATGGTCTATATATAACAGTATAAAACGAAATGCCCTTAAAACATCAAAAAACTATAAGTTTGAATTTATGCGTTATTTCGGTCAACAAGTAAATGACGAAAAACAGATTGAAGAACAGCGAATCAAGAATACGAGATAAAAGATATAAGAAACAGATGTAGGAAAGAAAACCCTACTGCAGTACTGCGTAAAGTCATATTGAATGTGAAAGTGTGAAGCGGTTTAACCGCATCGAATCCGTAAAACTATAATAAAGCCTTAATAAGCCTTAACTATAACAAAGCCTACCGAAACTCTTCATTTCTGTGTCTTTAGTATGCTGACACGTCAGTGGTAGTGGTAGTTTTAGTAAAGATTACCGTTAGTTTGTTTTGTTGTGTCTAGGCCTACTGAAGAGCCAGTTCGTCAGTCTTTATGCAGCAGTAAATGGACCCGGTCTTCAGCAGGTTTGGCTGTTCTTTGAACCGACGTAGACTCTGTCCTCTGAACCTACCATTGTGCTGAGAGTAATGCATAATAATTTTTGTTAATCTTCAAGAATCTGAGAATGCGTATGCTGACCACCATATGTAAATGACCTTCGAATGAACTTTGTCCTCATCGAGATCATGACACTCTGCTGGACAAGCGTTTTGAAAGGACGTTGCGTGCCAATGACAATGGAAGTTACAAGTTCCAAAAAAGTTTAGCATTTCAAAAATTACACACACCATGGTAATGACTACATGAGGCAGTCAACTTCAGCCCAGTCAACAGCACAGATGAATTCTTTGTTTAAAATAGCACTGTTTTGCCATGTCTAATGTCGCTGCCTGAAGTCGGATCGAATAGGATCTGAAAAATTGCACATTGGTGCTTAATAAGCAATTTACGTCATACGGATGTCATCCTGTATTTAATTTATGTAATTTTCAACAGGTTGTGGCATGAAACATTCAGCTTGAATTTTCGAAAACTTTTTTGTTGTTTTAATTAGGTCGTATAGGAAAAGGTTTTAGCCTAATTAGCATCTGTCGCCAGGCTTCGCTGCAACTGCAGAATCGTTGATGAAAGACACTGTAGAACTCTCGTCAGGAAAGAAGGCTTTGGTACGAAAAATGTTTTCAAGGCTGATTGACGTTTACTTAGGCTAAGTTGGAAAAAACAAGCTGATTGAGAAGTTTTCTATTTAATCAAGAGTGTATTGTCTCACCTTCGACATTCGTTCTCATAGAAACGGTAAAGAAGAACTGCTCACATTCCTCTGATTGTTCGTTTCATCTCATAATACTTGCATGAAAAGTGCACACAATTGCTTCATTTTTGATCTTCGCATTAAATCTTATATTCATGTGGAAGAAATCTGGCACCAGCGCCATGTTCCAGACGAGTAATGGTGTTTACAATCGCAGAAACGCTGTTGCAATGATTTTGAAAGCGGTGGTGCTTCACTGAAAAAATTTAGGTGATGAGCTCTACGATTTAATTAAACCAGTTATGGCATATGATAATAGAAGTGCAGTTGCACAGACCTGCAAAGCAGACTTATAAAAACGTCCCGTCATACCCATACCAATGCATGTCAAGGATCTGAAACTTTTATTACCAATAAATTTATTTTCTTTCAGTTAACGTGCCCAAATAATGAATGAATAGCTCCCAGTGGACTTTTAGCAGGCTTTTTATAACTGGTTTCGTTTGAACTCTATAGCATATTTTTGAGTCAGGTGCCTGTATTCAGTGATTGTTCAGACTAATACATATTTTGCTCAATCTCACGCCTTTAAATCCAGCCTCTAGAGCTCGGTTCACTGGCGGAAGAAAGACACCATTAGAACAACTGCCTAACGACTTAGGGCCACCTCTCCGAAAACCGGAGGGAAAATGAATTGGTGAAATTAATGAATGAATTTTGTCAGGCATTCTTTTTAATCGATCGCCAGAGAATCAGCAACAAGATTTTGCTCCCCCGGGGCAATTAATCAAACAAGTTTGAATTGAACTAGTTGGATGCAAAGGAAGAGAATTTTGTGCCATAATAAATCACCGTAGAAACTTTGTTTTCAACTTCGTCTGCTGTTGAGAGGGTATGAAACATGAACATGAAAAGGCCTGACCATGCGTTTTTCCAGTTTTAGGTTAATATCTTGTGACGTTCTTTGTTTAGGTTTTTCATTGGCTCCTTCCTCTGGATGTCATGGTAGCCATGTCAGTAGATCGTGAGCTTTATTTCCCGTAGGATTTGTTGCATTTGGATCTTTCTAGGGTAGACGATGTGAGTAAAGATAGGGAAAAAGAAGATAGAGGAACAGAAGTATGGACATGAGCCGTGCTTTTGGCTAATCACATCGAAAGTGAGACCACCATTATTATCCCAGCCATGGATTCCATAAGAATGTATGTTACAGGCAGCGAATAGATGAAAGTGTGAAAAAGACGAAACGCTTAAATTACCATCTTTGATTTTCTTCTTCTGGACAAATTTGCCTCTTAGTCAACAGGATATCGGTTATCTCGTGGTTATTACTGCTCTTTTAGCCCGACCGTTTTAGGGTTCGTTCGCAAGTAGTGAAACTGCTTCATTGTTCTTCATGCCAGCGCACGAAAGTGTTTTGTTGCGCAATCTCCATGTATGGTTGCTGAGGCTACTGTTATCACCCGATGTGAGGGTTATGCGAGAGTTTTTGAAAAGGGAAGGCAAGAGGGCAGTCACCCGTGCATAGACTTAATTTTTTGCCTTAGTAAATATCGTGGATTACTGATGAAGTTTTGGTCATTCCAATGGAGCCTGTGCATCAATGATTTTAAGACAGTCTTGTGGACGCCTTCTTTCTGCATCTCAGGAATTGACTGTAACAATATTCACTAATTAATTTTAACGAAGTGTCTTCAAATAAAATTATTTAAATGAAATTATAAAACAAATTAATATGCATCAACGTAGACCATTAGTTGTTTATATGGGTGGGAACAACGGGGTTTGATGTTAAGTGATTATTCCCTGGTATCGTAGAAGGCTGTACCACGAGTTCGAGTTCTTCTTCAAAATCGGTGATTGCCTCCGTAAAGTTACGAAATAACTTTAGACAGAGTCACATCCTGTGCATGCTGTTAAGACTGTCATCCTTCGTTTCGCATATGTTCGAATGGCCGATAGCATCTGGAGCTGTGTTGTTTTTTGCCCTTCCATTTTTGACCGCGCCAACACAACTACTTGACTGGCGACAGCCGGCCATGCAGCGATTTCCATTCGATTATGTCTTTACGACAAATGCGGGATCGTCGTTGTCAGTGCTTTGTGGCTCAGAACGAAGTTAAGTATTATGATAAAAACCACTCTTCCGGAAGCATCGATATTTTACTCAATTTGCATGTCTGATTGACATTCATTGTGTTTGTGGTCTTTCACCTTAAGATCCCTGATGACAGATCCAGTTCAGTTAGATATATGCCCCATATCATCACTTTTGCTAAATGAACATGCACCGTAATTCAAGTGTGAAAGTTTGTCCATTTTAAAGCAGATTTTATAGGCAG